ATAAACGATAATAATATAATAAAAAAATATTTGAGTTTAACTTAAAGATCAAAATATTTGACTTTTATGTATAAATATTTTATTGCAAAACCATTCACAATCATTTGCTGTCCTTGACTAGCATGTATTCTATTTAGCTGTCTTTGAACGAAGTCAATCAGTGAGAGCATTTGCAATTCGGCGTGTTATGCGTAAACACTCATTTGTTTGCGCTGCTGCATTATGAGCAGCTAACGTAGCCAGGGTGCTGCTGTTGGTGCTCCTGCAGCTTGAACAGGCAACAAGCGGACGCCCAGCAGTGGCAGCTGTGTCATCCTCCTGGCTGCTGCTGCTGYTGCTGTTGCTGTCACCTTGTAATTTTATTTATCTATTGATTATTGAGTATCTCTTTTCTATTTATTTGCCTTTGTTTGCACACGCAGCGTGCTGACAGGCAGGGGCCATGAGAGACAGAGAGAGAGAGAGAGAGCGACAGTCAACCCCCTTGCAGTCAACTCCCCCGCACTTGTACTAAATATTGCGCCTGGCATTTTTATTAAAGCTATTAGGGGTTGGGTTTCTTCTGCTATGGCTGTCATGTGTGTCCGTGTGTGTGTGTGTGTGTCTGTAAATATTTGGTGCCACTGGCTGTTTTTTAATTAACTTTAGTGACAATATTTTGCACAGTTCGTAAGCCTCCCATGCTTGGCCTAATCTGCCCCTGCAGCAGCAGCAGCAGCAACTACAACAACAACAACAACAGCAGCAGCAGAGATAATCAAACTGTGTGCCCAAAGTATGCAAATGTAGGCAAGTGATTCTTAGGCCTGACCCAAATTCCAGTAGCTGTCTGTCTTGCACACACACCCTGTCCCCCTCTCCAGCTATCGCTCTGGCAGTCTCTGGGTCTCTGTTTTGTGACAGTGACACTGCCGTTGACATCTCACAACTTGCACTCTATATAAGAATCACATGTCAGCAGGCGATGCAAGGAAATATCCATGGGGTGTATGGGCACAGCTGCACAGCACTGCACTACACGAGACTACACTGCGCTACGTACAGGCGTTTCTGTTTGTGTGTTTGTGTGTGTGAGCCTTTGGCTTGTGTCAGCTTCATTCACTTGTTGAGCGAGTTTTTCTTATCTTATCTAGTCTGGTTTATGTGTTTGTATAGTGGGTTTTTATTGAGGTTGTTTTCGCTCAATTTATTTCGTTTTTTTTTTTTTTGGATAACAGCGTACTTTATATATGTATATATGTACATGATCAAAAAGCAAACAGCACTCTACCTGCAACTGTAAGTTTAGTTAGTTAATCAGCTGTTATCTCAGAACATTGAAATCATTTTATCCTATCTTCCAGCTGCCTCGAAAATAAGCAGAGCATCAACATCTAAATTCGTCTATGACACCGTTAATAATAGATTATGTGAGTATAATAGGAAGTGCACTAATCGGCAATCGAAATTTTTTCAGCGTATATAACAGATAGCACACAAGTATAACACTCGTATAACAGTATCGAGTAATTAGTTTCTATTCAGCTTGTACGAATCTACTTACATATATAGATTGCCGTAGCTTACGCAACTACCTTATAGATACAAATGTATCTCAAACAGTTTGGATGCGTTCTCATTAAAAAGAACTTTGATTTTTGGTTAACATATGCTACGCACTGGCTTCGCTTCAATATCTAGCTGCACAAACGAAAACTTTATGAACACAGAGCGATACAGTTACTCAGAAACGGGCACTTCATCAGAGATTAGATAATGCACTCGCGAGTTGTATGTTCGAGCCGCACGACTAGGCCAGCGAAAGGCAACTAGCAGGCCGCCCAAAAATCAACTACAAGGTACCCCTTGATTTCATAATTATTTTCACACACTCACATAGGCTCCTCTATGTGTGTGTGTGTGTGTGTGTGTGTGTGTTATCTGTAACTGATAAGAGTGCTTATCGCGTTTATCGTAATTGTTCGCTGATTGTTGTCAGCCCAGGCAGGTAAACTACGATGGCAAGTCGTACTCTCTCTCTCTTACTCTCGCTTTCTCTGTCACTCACTGGGTCTCTCCTCTATCTTGTATAAATATTAGCTCTGTCCGCTTGCCTAAATAGGTCTCTCAATATAGTCTTTACCTTATCTCACCCTCCTTCTCTTTCTCTCTCTGTTTCTGCGCTACCGTTGCCTCGTCGAGTTTGACTGTCATTTGTTTATTTTCTCAAG